AAAAAAAATTTTAAACAATTATTTGTATAATTATTATAATTATTATAATTATTGAAACTAAAAATTAACCGTTATTTAAATACGAAGATATAAAAGAAATAATTATAAGGAAATATTACATACAACTTTGTTATATTTACTTCTTTATTTATTTTTATTGAGATATATCTATTTAATAAATAATTGGTGAATTCTTAGATATTTCTACGTCTAAAACTAGTTTGATTAAAAGAATAATTTTGAATACCTACATTAAAACATGTTTCTTGAAAATCTAACTAAGAAAAATTTCTAAAGTTTCTTACTTACATTCAACTTCAATTAATTTTTGTCTTAAAATCTTAATATTTGAAGTCGATAAAAATATTTGTATAAATTACAGTCAAGTATGTGTTCAAATGAATTATTTATCTCAAAAAATGAAAATATTCGGGTCCTGAAAAGGACCATTGGGCAATATAGTGTTAATAGTATTGCATTTTTAAACTAATATTATTTATTTAACCTCCGAAACCGTAGAGGGTGCGACCTTGTCTCTTCAAAGCATATACAACATCCATGGCTGTAACAGTCTTCCTTTTGGCATGTTCTGTATATGTAACTGCATCACGGATCACATTTTCCAGAAATACCTTCAATACACCACGAGTTTCTTCGTAAATCAAACCAGAAATACGCTTAACTCCACCACGGCGAGCCAAACGTCTTATAGCTGGTTTTGTGATACCTTGGATGTTATCACGAAGAACTTTGCGATGACGCTTAGCACCACCTTTTCCCAAACCTTTACCACCTTTACCACGACCAGTCATTTTGAGGTTATAATTTTAGTACAGATAATACTTGTCTATTCAGACTTAAACAGTAAATAAATTCCACACTAGATATGCACAGTATTTATAGAAAAAATGAACAATACAAAAGATATGAGTGACAATGCTTAAACACAACAAATTACTCAAAAATGGCACTCAAATAATTGAGGGTAGAAATAAACAATGTAAAGGATATTAAGGATATAATGAACAATGACTGTTTGAACATGTGAACAGTTGAGATGGATCATAAGAGTTTGTTTTGAAATTTACTCTCTCAACATTTATTCGTTAAATTAAATTTTATTTAACAATTTGTTTAATTATGGCTCGTACAAAGCAAACTGCTCGTAAATCGACTGGTGGTAAGGCACCACGTAAACAATTGGCTACTAAGGCCGCACGCAAAAGTGCGCCCGCAACTGGCGGTGTAAAAAAACCACATCGTTATCGTCCGGGAACTGTAGCTTTGCGTGAAATTCGTCGCTATCAAAAGAGTACAGAACTCTTAATTCGCAAACTGCCATTCCAGCGTTTAGTCCGTGAAATTGCACAGGATTTCAAAACTGATTTACGTTTCCAGAGTTCTGCTGTAATGGCTCTCCAAGAAGCTAGCGAAGCATACTTAGTTGGGCTTTTTGAAGATACTAACTTATGCGCTATTCATGCTAAACGCGTAACCATTATGCCAAAAGATATTCAATTGGCGAGACGTATTCGTGGAGAACGTGCTTAAGAAGCAATTTCATACTATTTAATAAACATCGGTCCTTTTCAGGACCAAAATTAATTAAAGAAAAGAGATAGTTAAACATCATATTCAAATTAATAATACTCAGATAAAATGAATATATAAAGATAATTGATTCTCTCATTCTTCTTTGTAACTATAATTTTTGATGATGATCAGCATATAACGCTATATATAAACTTCACACTTATAGCAATTATTGTTGAAGTTATTAGTTTTTTAGCTTTGTTGCTTGTTAAAATTATCAACTTATGATAACAATACTTTTAATAAAAAGTGAAGAACATTCCAAAGTATATAAATTTTGGTATTATAATACAGAAATGTTAATATCAGCATAACTATACTGCCTCCCAATATTCTGCATACCGAGATCTTCCCATTGTGCTTACTTTCCAGTTCATTCAGAGGGATCACTCTCCTGACCCAACTCGTTGCTCAATCGAGAATATAGTAACTCGCTTCACGGAGTATATTCTTAAAGAGTTCAAAACTTTTGTGAATAGATATAATCGATCATAATTTACGTATACCTACTACGTTCTCTAATGTGATTTCACTCGGAAGTCTTTCACAATTTAATAACTGAGATCTCCTCAAGATTTTCTTTAGTGTACCAAGTATATGGCTTTAAAAATTTCTGCGAATAATAATTGACTATTTAATATTTATAATATAGTATATATAAGACGACGGAAATGTGAGAACGAAAGCAGCGTATACAAGCTCGAGAAAGTACTTTGACAGTTTAATGAGTTAAAGAAATAAATGTCCAGGCTAACAAATAGAATGGAGTAAAGGTGCTAAAATAATGCAAAAGTTGAAGTGGGTAATTCATACTGCAATATTTTTCATATTCTAGTTTCTATTGTTAAGTATGGTATACAGTAGAGTCTAGAATATGCCAGTTAATAGAAGAACTAAATGCCTGAAAGGGAAAGTTCAAAAGATTTAAAATTTAATTTATGCCAAAGATCAGTGAATATATTTAAAACTTAATTATATATGGTATTTTTAACACATAAATGAAATATTTTTATAATTTTTTGTTACATACTTTAGGTGAAACATGGCATTTGTGTATTTATTGGAACCTTATACGTATATTATTATCAGTTAGTTATATTCACTTATTTTTTCTGATTATTCAAAATATATATGCTCGAAAATCAGTATTATTTTATTCATTTCTAAAATGTTCATTTATTTGTGAAGTGTATGTTAGTAATTTTAAGATCAATTATCGACTTTAATTAAATATTTTTGTGGTCCTGAAAAGGACCGTTGGAGTTAATGTTGATTGTTCAATACAAAAAAATTTACTTGGAACTGGTATACTTAGTGACAGCTTTAGTACCTTCACTAACTGCGTGCTTAGCCAATTCACCAGGAAGTAAAAGGCGAACTGCAGTTTGAATTTCCCGACTAGTAATTGTGGATCGTTTGTTATAGTGGGCCAAACGTGAAGCTTCAGCAGCAATGCGCTCAAATATATCATTCACAAAGCTGTTCATGATGCTCATAGCCTTGGATGAAATACCAGTATCAGGATGAACTTGCTTCAATACTTTATAAATGTAAATAGCATAACTTTCCTTCCTCCTGCGCTTCTTCTTCTTATCGTTCTTAGTTATATTCTTCTGAGCCTTTCCGTCCTTCTTGACCGCTTTTCCGCTAGTTTTTGGTGGCATGATTTCAAATGTGAAGTTTCAAATTTTCAATTTTATGAATTTTCAAATTTAAACTACCCTCACTCAGAATTTATGTATTTTTAAAACAGAAATTTCAAGAAATTCTCTCTTCACATTAGGGGATGAAAAAGGTATAAATTCTTGGTGTTTGCCTGTTTTCAACTCAGATCACGTAGATCAACTTAACAATCAAATACTATTGAAACATGTCTGGTCGTGGTAAAGGAGGTAAAGTTAAGGGCAAGGCAAAGTCTCGCTCAAATCGTGCTGGATTACAATTTCCAGTTGGTCGCATTCATCGATTGCTGCGAAAAGGCAATTATGCTGAACGCGTTGGTGCCGGCGCTCCCGTCTACTTAGCTGCTGTTATGGAATATTTGGCAGCTGAAGTTCTTGAATTGGCTGGCAATGCAGCACGCGATAATAAGAAGACAAGAATCATACCCCGTCATTTACAATTGGCCATCCGTAATGATGAAGAATTAAACAAATTGTTGTCTGGTGTTACAATCGCACAAGGTGGTGTATTACCAAACATCCAAGCTGTACTTTTGCCTAAGAAAACAGAAAAGAAGGCTTAAACTATATCTTACAACACTATTTCTTTCGAAATTTTCGAACAACAACCGTCCTTTTCAGGACGATCAATTTATTTGATTAAAGAAAACATACTTCATTTCAAACAATTATTATTTATACAAATATTTCTTTGAAAAACGTAACCCATAAAAATGGTTAAAATTGGTTTACAGAAACCATTTCCAAAATAATGTCAAATGAAATATGATTTGGAATCAAGCACCTTCATCTTCCGGCAATCAGAGCAATTCTACTCCATACGTATTAATTCGGTTACTTCCTACACGTACGTGTAAAACATTCTAATTTTAACATTAGCTCTATTTGAGCAATTTGTGGATTAATTATGTTTTAATATCACATTTACGTTTGAAATAAACAATTCATTATAATCATTATTTTCGGTATATACGTATTTTAATTTATTTTAACTAGTTATATATAGTTTGTATATAGTATAAAATGCAATTAAACAATTCTATATATGGTACAAAAACATGTAATTATATTCAAGACTCATCGCATTAAGTAATAAGTACTCATCTCAGAACAATATTTCTGATATATTACTAAACTGAACAGATTTAGTAAAGAATTATAAAACATTCACATTCACATTGCTTCTTTTAATCGCTTTATGACAATATAACTAACAAAGAAAAGGTTGTATGTAATTCTATTAAATTCATCTTAAATATAGATTTTATTTCATATATTTTGGCGCGTAAATGCAAATAAGAAAATTACTCACGTTCCATCTTCATTCCATTTCGGCTTATAGTTTCTTACTCAATTTCACTCACACTCATGCTCATTCGGCTTGGAAGTATATGTATGGATCTTGAGTGTCCTTGGTATGCGTGTGAACTGTACTGACAATTTTGTCAGTTACTTTTTTTTTAAATAAAAAAATGAATGGTATAACAATGCAAGCCTTAAGTATTTTAGTTCACATACCAGTAGGTAGAAATTTTCCCGCCATAATTTTATCTGCCACCAAACGAATCAATAAGATATGGTATATAATTTTAAAAGCATGTGTGTTATTAAAAAAATGTCTTTCTTTCTTTGAAACTTATATCCTGGGTGGTAGGAAACTGATATATTCTAAACAGAAGGAGAATACATAAAACAATAAAATACTCTTAGTTTCTAAATTCTTTTACAATTTAATTCAATTGAGGAACAGATTTAAAAATTAAGTGATTGGGGTATAAATAGTATTTCATTATGAGATATCGGTTTTCAATGTTGTTTCATGCTAAATGTTGTCATGCTAAATCGTATTGAGAATGACAGTACAGAAAAAAAAATTTTAAACAATTATTTGTATAATTATTATGATTATTGAAACTAAAAATTAACCGTTATTTAAATACGAAGACATAAAAGAAATAATTATAAGGAAATATTACATACAACTTTGTTATATTTACTTCTATATTTATTTTTATTGAGATATATCTATTTAATAAATAATTGGTGAATTCTTAGATATTTCTACGTCTAAAACTAGTTTGATTAAAAGAATAATTTTGAATACCTACATTAAAACATGTTTCTTGAAAATCTAACTAAGAAAAATTTCTAAAGTTTCTTACTTATGTACATTCAACTTCAATTAATTTTTGTCTTAAAATCTTAATATTTGAAGTCGATAAAAATATTTGTATAAATTACAGTCAAGTATGTGTTCAAATGAATTATTTATCTCAAAAAATGAAAATATTCGGGTCCTGAAAAGGACCATTGGGCAATATAGTGTTAATAGTATTGCATTTTTAAACTAATATTATTTATTTAACCTCCGAAACCGTAGAGGGTGCGACCTTGTCTCTTCAAAGCATATACAACATCCATGGCTGTAACAGTCTTCCTTTTGGCATGTTCTGTATATGTAACTGCATCACGGATCACATTTTCCAGAAATACCTTCAATACACCACGAGTTTCTTCGTAAATCAAACCAGAAATACGCTTAACTCCACCACGGCGAGCCAAACGTCTTATAGCTGGTTTTGTGATACCTTGGATGTTATCACGAAGAACTTTGCGATGACGCTTAGCACCACCTTTTCCCAAACCTTTACCACCTTTACCACGACCAGTCATTTTGAGGTTATAATTTTAGTACAGATAATACTTGTCTATTCAGACTTAAACAGTAAATAAATTCCACACTAGATATGCACAGTATTTATAGAAAAAATGAACAATACAAAAGATATGAGTGACAATGCTTAAACACAACAAATTACTCAAAAATGGCACTCAAATAATTGAGGGTAGAAATAAACAATGTAAAGGATATTAAGGATATAATGAACAATGACTGTTTGAACATGTGAACAGTTGAGATGGATCATAAGAGTTTGTTTTGAAATTTACTCTCTCAACATTTATTCGTTAAATTAAATTTTATTTAACAATTTGTTTAATTATGGCTCGTACAAAGCAAACTGCTCGTAAATCGACTGGTGGTAAGGCACCACGTAAACAATTGGCTACTAAGGCCGCACGCAAAAGTGCGCCCGCAACTGGCGGTGTAAAAAAACCACATCGTTATCGTCCGGGAACTGTAGCTTTGCGTGAAATTCGTCGCTATCAAAAGAGTACAGAACTCTTAATTCGCAAACTGCCATTCCAGCGTTTAGTCCGTGAAATTGCACAGGATTTCAAAACTGATTTACGTTTCCAGAGTTCTGCTGTAATGGCTCTCCAAGAAGCTAGCGAAGCATACTTAGTTGGGCTTTTTGAAGATACTAACTTATGCGCTATTCATGCTAAACGCGTAACCATTATGCCAAAAGATATTCAATTGGCGAGACGTATTCGTGGAGAACGTGCTTAAGAAGCAATTTCATACTATTTAATAAACATCGGTCCTTTTCAGGACCAAAATTAATTAAAGAAAAGAGATAGTTAAACATCATATTCAAATTAATAATACTCAGATAAAATGAATATATAAAGATAATTGATTCTCTCATTCTTCTTTGTAACTATAATTTTTGATGATGATCAGCATATAACGCTATATATAAACTTCACACTTATAGCAATTATTGTTGAAGTTATTAGTTTTTTAGCTTTGTTGCTTGTTAAAATTATCAACTTATGATAACAATACTTTTAATAAAAAGTGAAGAACATTCCAAAGTATATAAATTTTGGTATTATAATACAGAAATGTTAATATCAGCATAACTATACTGCCTCCCAATATTCTGCATACCGAGATCTTCCCATTGTGCTTACTTTCCAGTTCATTCAGAGGGATCACTCTCCTGACCCAACTCGTTGCTCAATCGAGAATATAGTAACTCGCTTCACGGAGTATATTCTTAAAGAGTTCAAAACTTTTGTGAATAGATATAATCGATCATAATTTACGTATACCTACTACGTTCTCTAATGTGATTTCACTCGGAAGTCTTTCACAATTTAATAACTGAGATCTCCTCAAGATTTTCTTTAGTGTACCAAGTATATGGCTTTAAAAATTTCTGCGAATAATAATTGACTATTTAATATTTATAATATAGTATATATAAGACGACGGAAATGTGAGAACGAAAGCAG